TCACGGCGTCCTCTCCTGGCCTCCCGGGAGGGGGTGAGTTCCTCAAAACGACCTCGGGGTCTCTTTCTGGTGTTGTTGTGGAGTCCGCCTTGGGTCCTTTCCTGGCTTTCCAACCCAAACTAAACTCCGAAGAGTATTCTGGGGCCTTATTGAACTTCCTGATGAAGGCAAGCAAAAAGGGTGTAACGACGATTGTCGATGCTGCCATGAAACTTGAGCTACCGGAAGGGTCGGAAAACCTTTTGGATGGAATGGTCGGAGTGAGTTTTATATCTCAAATTTATTTACGTCCGGTGTTCGATTGTTTTAGAAAGATAAAGCCTCAATGTCCTCATTTTCGAAATCAAGGCCTACGTGCAACTCGACAAGTCCGACCTTCTTCCAACCCGTGTGTCTCTGTCGCCCACATACCCTTACCTTGACCAAGTCGTGTCTGTTGCCGCTCGGATGGGTCGCCAGAAAGCTCCGGGCCACGTTGTCTACCTGTCCGAAAACACGGACATGGTCTCCTTCCACGCTATCAAATTTGTACTAGACGGTACCAACCAGACAATGACCGCTGCGCAAACTGTACCATACATAAATGGAGATGGAACAAACAAGGGAGAGATGAACCATCCTGACACAGAGAAATTGATTCACATCGTCAAAAAAGTCCGAGAAGCTGGTTTCTGTAAGTAGCCCATATACAATTGGGGTTGATTTCTTATCGGATCTCGATCCCTGACAGTCATTTTGATTTAGCTTCGATGTTCCATGCCAACGGTGACGCAGCCCTCGATCAAGCCCTAGAAACATACGAAAGAGTTTATGGGAGGGTTGCACCTGAGAATGCATATACGGGGAGCGGTTTCCGTGGCCGAATCGAACACTGCACTATCACTCGCGAAGAGCAGGTGACCTTCTTGGCGTCCACGAGCGTGGTCTGTCGCGCGAAATGACTAATTTTCCGATTCCACGACCTTGATACTTAGATCGCTCGCATGAAAGCACTCAACGTCATTCCCTCGTTCTTGATGCAGCATCTCCTGTATTGGGGCTCGCGATACCATGACGTCAGCTTGGGTCCAGCCCGTGCATCTAGGATGGACCCCGCGGGAGATTGCGTTAAGTACGGGATTCCTTGGAGTATGCACTGCGGTGAGCTGCCATTTTTGTGTTCTCTTCCGAGCAAACTCTGTTATGACAGTATCCTGCTCTGACCCAATTTCCAATTATACTATCCACCTCCGTTATTTAGACATGCCCGTCACTCCTGTGCAACCGCTTCAGTACATCACCACCGCCGTCACCCGCACAAACTTCTATGACGGGAAGGTAATTGGTCCGGAACAGTGCGTCTCTGTCGAGGAATCACTCAAGTCCGTGACGATCTACTCCGCCATACAATGCGGGCTTGCGGATATTTGTGGTAGTCTCGAAGTGGGGAAGAGCGCGGATCTTGTCGTGCTTGACGCCGACCCATTGCAAGTTGACCCCAGTAAGATCAAGGTGAGTGTATTGTGTTTGTGTAGGCAGCGCAGCTGGAGCGTTTATGATACATTGAACTATTCCCTGGCTCTTTGGAAACCCAGGATATCATTATTGAAGAGACATGGATCGCCGGAAAGCGGATACTCCACCTCATGTAGCTCAGTCTGGGCAAAGATCCCGATAGGTTTCGGATGCCAGAGCAGTTCCAAAATACATTTTGAAAACCTCGAAGTAGTGTTTTGATCTTGATTCTCCCGCGGTTTCCTGCCGACTCCCATCCACACACTTGTCGCACCAGGCCGAAATTTTCAACCACCTACAAATCTCATGGCGAATCGCAGCATCACGGACGTCCTACCGCCTGAGCTTCTCACGAGAATTCTAACTTTTCTTCGGGCATCGGATATCGGACGCATCGCTCAGAGTTGCAGGGTCTTTTGTGACGTTTCTCGCGAATCGACACTGTGGAGCTCGCTTGTGATTGCAGGAGTAGTACTGGACGTTCCAAAAGGCCGTCTATCGAGCCAAAATGATAATCCAGACGACGATGAAGAGAACATTTTCGGCGATACGGCTGACATATGGCCCTCTGTGACCAGATTGTCCGCGTCTCTGCGATGGCCAAAGACCATGCACCTTCCCGCGCAACTTGAACCGCCACCATTTGAGACGCTCGGGCAGGTGATTGGCAGCAGCAGCGGCTCAGAGTCTGACGGGAGGAGCGCTCCGGATGAAGACGTCCTCGAGCGACGCTACCCAACCACCCCGATCGCTGTGTCACTTCACGACGTCATCACACCAGGAACAGAACGGGAGCTGTTTCGCGCTTTATGTGAGCTCACGAGCGCTTGCTCTGTTTCACGAATGCGCACATATGAAACGTCGTTTTACACTGCTTCTGCAAAACAGACGCTTTAACGACAAACCCACCGCTTCCTGTCGACATTATCTCACTCGGAGCGTTTGCATCCTCAACTGACGACCCCTCACAATCTATTGCGCGGACACTGGACCAGTCTGTCTTCTCGTTTTGGTCTTCCACAGGATCTCATCTGTCGGAGCCTGGCCTCGCTCCTCGCGAGACTCTAATATACCAATTCCTGGGACCATCATCTGTGCAGGAGGTATCAGTGCACTGGTTTACAGCCTTGTTCCAACCGGGAACTCCTTGGTACGGTCCGAAATGGGTCCAGTTTTCCATTGGGCTTCATGCTCAGCGTGACAGCGAGAATACAACGGTCGGTGGCGGTCAAGAACAAGACGAGTCAGCTCGTCGTCTACCTGCACACTATGTCTCCCCTTGTATTCGCGTGGAGGAGAGGCAGGGTGAGTATTTGTTCCCGCCATAGCTTCGGAGGGTCTACATTCGCAACTTCATTCACAAGTTTGACTTTCACCACGTTTCATGATAGCCGTCACAGTTTTCCGTCCACCTATACTCGTTGCAGGATGTTACTTGCGTATCGACATGTTCGGTCGTGTTGGAAAGCAGCCTTCGGATTCTTTGCTTTATGTCGTGGTTGGCAAGGTGGAATGCCTTGGATGGCCCGGTGAGCTTGGACACTTTCACCGCCGCCAAAAGTTGCGTTGTGTGACATATTCCATTCAAAACCTCTCCACAAAGTCTCAAGAAGGGCATCAGTGTTCAACGACGAAGCCCCACATCCTTATGAAACTGTTCTCGTACCTGCAATACAGCGCGTACACCGACTCCTCACTGCTACAAGTGCTTCCTACCAAGTTGACAATGACAGGTCAGGTGCCGATTGGTTCGGTTGGTTGCTGAATTGGAATATCTTTTCTGAACGACGCGATGCCACTGCGACCTTGGTAAGAGGGATTCGAGGAGCTCTACGCATGATAGACGAGGCTCGCTCCGCGGAGAGTTTGGAGCACAGACGAGAACTGTGGCTTTCTGCCGCTGGGAAAGTGGTGCAGGTGCGTTGTTTGGTCGGGACTTTGTTCTGATTTGGTTTTTTTTTTGAATGCGTTGATATTAAAGTTGCGCCACATTGCGGTTGTGCACATGAAAGCTTCCCAAAACAGTGCGCTCCACGCACCTCCTCCCCCGGTTCCTTTCCGCTCGCAAGCGTGAGCTGCATCGTCTGAGGACGGTTCTGGAGCAAACCACCTCCGGAGACAGCACTGCAAAGCCGTCCACGCTGTTTGAGAAACTCCGCAGCTTGAACAACAGAGGTCACCCATCTTTCGATCCCGCTCGACCGGTTCAACTGTCACCGGAGGACGACCCGACCGAGTACTACTTCAGGATGGTGGCGAATTCGGGGCAAGATCTTGATGAGCGAGAAGGAGTGGCTATGGGTGAGGATACCTGAATTCGTCATTTGGAGGAGTGTACGAGACTGATCGAGGGTCGACGCTTACGCATGACACTGCGCGGTCATTTGGCATGATTTTTAACTTCATTTGCGCCCAGTCCGTCTGATAACGTCGCATCCGACGTTCAACGCAACGCACTCCACCCGCCTTGTAACTTCACCCATGGGCGCCAGGTTCCATCGGCTCCTATCAGAGGGCAGAGTGCACTGCGGGTTGGAACTGGGTCAGGTGCTTTGGGATGCAGGGGACCGAAAGACCGCGTCGGCGGTGTGGTTTAGGGGAAATGTTGTGGACAAGGTTTGTCGTCCATCAGATGAGATGTGGCGGGCGCAGAGTACTGACGGGCGATCGCTCGCACACACTCTCAACAGATTATCTTTTCATTACTTCGTCTCCACTCTTACGCCTCCCTTGTGCAATACATCCTCGTGTCGCTCCCGTCCCCTGCAACTGAGATCGCCAACATCACCGGCGACCTGGCAGCCGAACGAGGCTACCGAGCTGCTTCCCGATTCGCCGCAACCGCCATCAATGTGGACTGGACGTTGAGGACTGCGGTGTGTGAAGCGTTGGGATTGGATGTGGGGGAGTTGGAGAGCAGGGCGCGGAGTGGAAATTCGAGCAGTGGTTTATTCAGTGGCCCGCTGTCGTCGCTTTTGGGTGGATCGGGGATTGCGATGACGAAAGAAGTGGAGCTTTGGATGGTCGAAGAGGGAGCGCGACGGGACATGATGGATGGGAGAAAGCAGTTGGAAGGTGATATTGACGATGAGCTGGCGACCGAATCAACTGAAGATGCATGGTCTTGAGAACGGGTTGATGACCGTAGAATACACGTAAGCCTTTCAAGTCGCATCGGGAGTTTTTAATTCATGGATTTGTATAATGTACTTGGATCGAATCCTTCATATCTTGGGCACGAGTCGTTATCAGTTACTGTCCCAATTCAATAAATAGTACACATTCGTTTGGAATCCAAACTTGTGACTCTAGACTCGGTTGTTTGGCTTCAAATTCGCGAATCTGACATCCTCATTCACACGACTTCTACCCGAGGTCAATCCCTGGGCGAGCAGTTCAGACGGCGCGGGAAGACAGCATTCGGGTGCTAGTACGCACAAAGGCTGAGTGAGCTTGGGAATTGCAAAACTCTATCTGTAGGTCTTGGTGGAGGAAACGGCAAAAAACGCCCTCCGGGGGACTCGAACCCCCAACCTTGTGATGACTTCACGTAAAAGTCACACGCTCTACCGATTGAGCTAGGAAGGCCTAGGCTATCGACTCAAAGTGCTGTTTGGCAGTATCAATATATTTTTATTGGAGCACTTTTCAAATCATGACTCACTGCCAAATCGAGATTTCAAATTGCAACATATTTTCCACTTGCCGAAAGGACAATCAGAGAAAGTACGGTATTCTTAATAAATGCCGACATCAAAGCTCCACCATTTCTAATTTTGCCCTCCCAAGTATTGTGCGATGGGGACCGGGGAGAGGTAAAGAAATTTAAGCAGTTGGGACTCGCCCAGTTCTGATTCTTTTGGGAACGTAACAAGAAGAAAAGATGGACATTTGAGACAGAAGAAGAGCCAATGTTGATGGCATGGCTGGGAGAACGAGAGGGGAGAGGACAAAAGAGTGTGGATGTGGCGGGTACATACGGAGGGTGGAAAGGGGAAAGGGGAAAGGGTTCAATGTTTTAAGTGAAGTCATCATAAGGTTGGGGTTTTGAGTCCGCCGAAGGGCACTCTTTTCGATGTTGCCTGTTGACTTCAGCGCAATAAGTACGTAGTTGCATTGTACTGGTGCTGCAGCAGTTCCGGTCGCCGCGCTCTTCTGAGCACCGATTGAGCAAGGAAGGCTTATCAGTTATCACCGCTATTACATAACGAGGAAACTCTCTGCTTTGGACATCATGGATGTTCAGTAGGTCGTTCTACTCCTTAATCACACTTCCATCCGCACACTAATGGATCAGCTCACTTCTAAGGTGAGGGTTCTGTAAACTATTCTGATGCCAATCCACATACATGATAAAATTTATAATTTATCTAATATTGCGTCATTGCTGCATGTTGCTTTTTACCCCACAAAAATCCTGCAGATAAGATAACAGTCCAGGCTGTGAAGGCAGTGGTGAGAGCTAGGAGGAAGGCAATGTAGGCTGACGCATCAAGCCCAGAGAATTGGAGAATTTCTGAGACAGGCAGAATATAGGTGGCGGATTGGAACACGGACCCATGAATGAGTGCTCCCAATCAACAATAAGAAATTCAGCTCATGTCTCACCCATAGCTTGCTCATGTGCCCCAGCCAAGAGCAACCCTCCACAGATGACAGTCCACAATGCAATTAAATCCCATGCTGCACCCTTCCTCCCTCGAACCAAGCCACCTGTCGCCCCATGTGACCCATTAGCAACCCACACCACCCTCAATAAGCCTGCAAAGACCAGGGCCCATCCAAAGTAGGAGTGAATGCCAACTGCTGCCTGTCTCTCCTGGGCATCATGTAGAGTCATGTGAAACCCAATGAGGGACAGAGAAAGGCCTGGGAATGGGTTCAAAGAGTGGGAGGTTGACAGATGAAATGCAAGGGAAATGAAAGACGTTGAGAGGGTCAGAAGAGCTGAAGCCTATGTTTGGTTGGGAGCCATGCAAATGTTAATTCTCGAGAGCTTGCTCTTTGAAGGAGTTGGATAAAGTAGAGAAGAACTCAAAATTCACCATATGCTGCTGTTGCATCATGTCCATGACTGGTCGGTACTCCGTGACTATCTCAATCACACCCATGAGAGCCAAGAGTATTGTTTCGACTCGCTGTTCATGCCTGACGGACCGCAATTCCGCGTCATTGCCACGGTCATCAAAAACGCCACCGTTCGATGATTCAATGTGGGTATCCAACTTGTCGAGTGGAGAGTAGGAGGTGTGGCGGTTGACAGTTTGTGACGGAGAAGTTGGAAGGAGTCGCCGCGAGAGTTCCCAGCAGCCAAGAGAAACAAGAACGCCGCCCTTGACAAAGTGGGCCTGCCAGGAGATAGGGCGATGACGTTTGTGAGAATGGGAGCTTGGGACTCCGGATGTTCACAGCCTTTTCTTCACATGAACAACGCACCACGCACTGCGGGAAGTAGTTTCCATCATCCCAAAAGCACCATCGTCGCAACGCAATGATCCCCAGAGTTGCTACGACGATGGGATATACCAACAGTGTCCGAGAGATTGCTCGGACTGCTTTGTCAAGGCCGACAGTAGTTGTGACAATCCGGGATGATTCCGAATGATCACGTTGAAGACTGGTCCACCGAGCGAGGTTGAGAAGTGTGGTCGATTTCGCATCTTGACCGTGTAGCGTAGAAGAGCTTGTCAAGCTGGAACTCTCGTGGCCGTCAAGGGAAATGACTTC